TTTTATAACTCGAAAGGAAGTTGATGGAAACCATTCCTTCACATTTTTGATGACTTTTTTTTGGTGACACAGGGTTTTAACTCAGGACCTCACGCTTGCTAGGCAGGCGCTCATCACTTGATCCATTCTGCCAGTCCTTGCCCTTACATTTTTAATCGAGAAAATGATATCATCTTAGGTGGAGTAGAGGCTTTTTTAGACAGCTAACAAGTGGTTACTATGTAGCAAGGAGATTTTTTTTGTGTACCTACACTTGGTGAGATGTGTGTGAATAAGGAATCTGGACATACGATTGCAGCTACTATTTAAATTACTGACAGGTTGCAACTTTCCATCCCTTTATAAACTGCAGATGTTTGACTTAAGCCACCCAATTCTGAACTGAGCTTCATGTTGCTATTTATGTGTTGTAACATAATTTCACAGTCACTGTCCCATTTGATCTTCCTCAAAGTCTTGTGATTAGAAAAGACAGATATCACACCTACCTTAACATGAGGAGCTTGAGGCTGACCATTTAAGTAGGAAATGACAAAAACAGTACCAATTTCAAATTTTTCCTTTGTTCTTTATCCAGTGCCATACTAAACATTGTTGTCCCTATGTATATAGTACTTGTTTTGTAATAGTTTATAGTTATACCTCATTTCAAGACGTGTTATGTGTTCCCAAGGCATTAGATTTTAACTAAAAGAGAAATCATCTTCTAGATTATCCTGCAGTTATTTTGGAAGTCCTTTTAAAAATAATTTTATGAAGTTAGAATGGTATATTTCAAATTTTTATGGCTTTTGTGCTTCCGTAGCATTTTGTAGCTGATTGTTGTGATTCTGGATGTAAATATGATATCTGTGCAGACACATGTAAATCAGACATTTATATTTTTGTCCTCATACCATCATTGATCCTTTTGTTTTAAGCTGGGACTTAAGAGCCTTGCACATGCTGAGCATGTGTTCTGCTACTGAGCTGCTGTCCCAGCCACTACATTGATCTTACAGAGGAAAAACGACTGTCAAAAACTTCTGTCTTTTGTAGTGCATAATTCCTAGTGGGGCAGTAGGCATCACAAATAAAAGTATTAAGTCATCCTGAATGAAGAACTGTAACAAAAAAAAAAGTATAACTGACTGACCATCATAGAGTTCTGCTATGTCTTCCCTGATGATATTCTTAACCAAATTTGTTTTGAAATCACTCATTTAGTCATCCAACTTTTTTTTTTTTTTTTGCAGACTAGGATTTGAAATCAGAGCCTACACCTTGAGCCACTCCACCAGCCCTTTTTTATGATGGATTTTTTTTCTAGATAGGGTCTCTTGAATTATTTTCCTAGGCTGGCTTCAAACTGCATCCTCCTTATCTTTGCCTCCTGAGTAGCTAGAATTACAGGTATGAGCCACCAGAGCCTGTTTTGTTTTGGCGGTATCGGGCTTGCTAGAATCTACCACTTGAGTCATGACTCTAGCCCTTTTTTGTGTTATTTTTGAGACAGTGTCTCGCTTAATGCCTGGACTGGCCTAGACTGCTGTCCTATTTGTGCTTCCTAGCATAGCTGGGAGTGGCAGGCATGCTGTGCGGCCCAGGCATTGATTTAGATGTGGGTCTCTCAGATTTTTTGCCTGGGCATTCCTCCCAATCTGTGCCTCCCAAGTAGCCAGGTGGCTTCAGCTTCCATGTCTGGCTACTAACCCACCTTTTTTTTTGGGAGGGGGGGGTAAGGGGACTGGGGTGTGAACTCAGGGATTCATGTTTGCTTTAAGTTTACAAAGCAGATGTTCTACTGCCTGAGCCACACCTCCAGTCCATTTTGTTCTAGTTCCTTGTGCTGGCTAGTACCACAATCCTCTGGATCTCAGCCTCTCAACTAATTAGGATTACAGATGTGAGGCACTGGCACCCAGCTTCACCCAAACTTTTGAGTACCTTTTTGTGTCTGGCATTGATCCCAGAGCAGAAATTGGCTTACCCAGGGCTCACTGACCAAATCCTTTTCAGTCATTGCTTATTGTGTAAATGCAAGTTTTGTTAGAACACAGCTACACTCACTCATTTACATATTATTTATATGGTTTCTTTTTCATTACCAAGGTGGAGCTGAATATTGTGATAGATACTGTATGGGCCAAAACTTGCAGTATTTATTATTGGTGCTTAGGAGGAAAAGTTTTTCCACCCTAATCTAGAGTGCTTGCAAATGCACCTCTGGAGAAAACTAAAGGATCGCTGTGTGTTTAATTTTTTTATGTTACAGCCTTCTGCCCTGTTTCTCTTTCCTCATTGTTCATATTTCAGTTCATATTGAAGGATGATGTTGGTATTATAAGTAGATGACAGTTATTTACCTATGAATTTGTATAGGTATCAATTTCCTCACTAGGGATTTTCTTTGACATGAGCAATTGATTAAGGAACTGTGAGCTAGGTAACATTCAATGGTAAATTTCAAATTTGTGGTATGTGGATAGAAAACTAGAATGAAGAAGGCTTTACTCTGTGGGGCCAGTATTCGTATGAAATGTAATTAGTATCAAGGTTTAATGAAAGTAAGTTTACTATTTCATCAAGAACTGGCTTTTTCTGTTAGAGTATGGTGATAAAGACCATCACCATAAAGAATTTGCAGTACACTGAGCTCAAAGACACAATGTGTCTAAAGATGGACCAAGGATCCTAAGAAGCCAGAGGCAAGATGTCATCATATGCAGTGTTTGTGCAAATTTGCTGGGAAGAGTACAAGAAGCAGCACCCAGATGCTTCAGTCAACTTCTCAGAGTTTTCTAAGTGTTCAGAGAGGTAAAGGAGACCATGTCTGCTAAAGAGAAAGGAAAACTTGAAAACATGGTAAAGCTGTTGAAAGGCTCGTTATGAAAGAGAACAGAACACTTATATCCCTCCCAAAGGGGAGACAAAAATGTTCAAGGATCCCAACACATCCAAGAGGCCTCCTTCAGCTTTCTTCTTGTCCTGAGTATTGCCCCAAAATCAAAGTAGAACAACCCAGCCTGTCCATTGGTGATGTTGCAAAGAAGCTGGGAGAGAAGTGGAACAACTCCGCTGAATAAGTTGGTTCTGGTGCAGTTTCTTCTTGTCCATAAAGCATGTACCCCCTAGTATACAACTCACTCCTTTTAAAGAAAAAAAGCTGAAATGTAAGGCTGTGCAAGATTTGTTTTAGCTGTACAATGTCTTTTTTGTATAATTAACACACCATTGGATGTGTCTTTAGATAGCCCTGTCCTGGTAGTATTTTCAATAGCCACTAACCTTGCCTGGTGTATGTGGGGGTTGTGAGTTGGTGTGGAAATTTAAAGCAGGTTCTTACTGAGCACAGCACAAATTAGTTGTATATGGGATAGTAGTTTTTTTCATCTTCACTTGTCTCCTGATGCAGCTTATATGAAATAACTGTTGTCCTGTTAACTGAATACCACTCTGTAATTGCAAAAAAAAAAAAAAAAAGTTGCAGCTGTTTTGTTGACGTTCTGAAGGCTTCTAAGTAAATATAATTTTTTTAATTGAAAACGAATGGGGGGAGAAATGGCCCAAACAATGTATGCACAAATGAATAAATGAATAAAAAGAAAAAAAAAACAAAGAATGTGACTAGTACAGTTTAGTGCTGTTGGCTTGATTCATGCTAAGGCTTGAACTATTTTTTCCCTCTTTTACACTACCAGTGCAAGTGTTAGCAAAGTGAAAAAGGCAAATAAGCATTTTGTTTTTGGAAACAAAGTCTTGCTTTTTCAGGTTGGCCTCAAACGTGTGTTCTGATCTTCTTGCCTTAGCCTCCCTAATGCTGGGATTACAGATGTGTACCACCATGCCAAGCGCCCCCCCCTTTCCTTTTTTTTTTTTTTTGTAGTACTGGGGCTTGAGCCATTCTGCCAGCCATTTTTTGTGAAGGTTTTTTTTCTAGATAGGGTCTCCTTAACTGTTTGCCTAGGCTGGCTTCAAACTGTGATCCTCCTGATCTCTCCCTCATGAGTAGCTAGGATTATAGGCATGAGCCATCAGTGCCTGGCCTTTTTTTTTTCCTCCTTCTTGAGACAGGATTTTTCCATGTTGTCCAGGCCGGTGTGGAGAATATGATAGGCTGACAAGATCCTCCCACTTCAGCCTCTCAGCAGCTAAAACTACAGGTGCATGCCAACATGCCTAGCTATAAGTTTTCATTCTTATGAAAATAATTTTGACCTCCTGGATCTCTAAAAAGATCTCAGGAATCCCCAGTGTCTCCAGATATGCTTTGGAAACTTCTTATTTAGAGGGTAGATTCTAGTCAATCTGGTTGAGTTGAACCCTGGCTCCCTCACTTACTAGCTTTGTGACCTTTGGTGATTTACTTAAAGTATCCATGCCTCAGTTTTCTTATCTGCAGAATGGAGGTTATGAGAGTACCGACTATGAAGGTTAAGGAGTTGGTATTTACAGAGTGCTTAGAACAGTGCTTGACATATAAAATATGTAAGTATTGTTAAATATGTATTATAGCTAGTTATTTGTATAAGAAGTATTCTACAAAGTTTCAAAGGAATAAGAAGACTTAAATTTAGAGAAAGATGGTATTAGGCTAAAGAAGGTAGACAATAGCCATTTGCAGTGTTCAACAGCAGTTGGAGATTTGCCTTCAAGATTCCTTAAAAGGGTCAGGGCAGGGAGGCGAAGCACAGAGACTACATGGTTGAATGACTTTAGGAAAGTCATGACTATGTGGCTTAAAGCTTCAAGGTCAAAGACAGGGAAATGAAAAGAAGAATCTTGTGTATTATGGATCTTGTTTCATGTTAGGGCTTTTTTTTTTTTTTTTGAGAAGAAAAGTGAATGAATGTCCATGAGTGTGGAAGCCAATGGAAAATTTTGACTGTGTCTCTCTCTCCTTTGCAAAAAAAAATAAAGAAGATATTTAGTGATCTTATACAGGTAAAAAGTATGTCTTATCCTTTAAGGAATATGGAACCAAAGTAAGTGTTTTTTTTTTTTTTTTTTTTTTCTTGCAGTACTGGAGTTTGAACTTAGGCCTTACACTTGGCAGGCAGGTGTTCCCATCTGCTTTTGCTTTCATTATTTTTGAGTAGGATCTTGCATTTATGTCTGGGCCTATTTAGACTTCTCACATAACTAGGATGATAGGTATGTACCACCATGCCCAGCTTTTTATTAGTTGAGATGGAGTCTCTCAATTTTTTTTGCCTGGGGTGGCCTCAAACTATGATCTACCTGATTTCTGCTTCCCAAGTATTTTGGATTATAGGCATGAACTGCACCTGACCCAAGTTGTGTTATGAGAACCTGAAATTGACTACAACTTAAATTTTTCTCATAAAATTACTATTTGGTATATGCTAAATTAGGCAGATTGCTAAGTGAGCCCCTTTTCTAAGTGGACTAAATTGGAAAGGCGTGCAAAAGCTTGGAATATGGGGCTAGACATTTTTGTCCAGTTCACAGTCTGCATAACCATATGTAGTAGGCCCTGCTGCTAGATGGAGATCTCTTCCTAAATTCACTTTCTTTAAAAGTAGCGTTTTAGTTTCTTGCCTTAGGAGAAATACCTAGCCAGTATTGGCAATGTGATGGCAAGGTGGCACAGCCATTTCACTCATGCATTTGATAAAAGACCAGTGCCTACCATTTGCCAAACATTGTCAATACCAGTGGACAAAATCCTGCCGTTATGGAGATAATGTTTTAGAGGATCGATAAATTAAGTATAATTGAATGGTAAATTAGGATTAGGATTTAAAATACTTAAGAAAAATAGCTCTGGAAATGAAAATAAATACTGGGGGCAGTTTTAAATTAGAGTAGTAAGGGAAGGCCTCCCTGACAAGGTAACATTTGAGCAAATGCCTCAGGGAGGTGAGAGATCTCAGTCATATATGGATTTTGGAGGTAGAAGGAACAGTAAGCTCAAAGGCCTTGAGACAGGTATACCTAGCAGTGTGTATGATCTGAAGAGGACTAGAGGAGATTAAGCAACAAGGAATCAGACCATCAGGAGCCCTTAAGTCATGGTAAGAACTTGGCTTTTACTCTTTGTGAGTTGGGAAACCATTGTAAGATTTTGAGGCAGCAGTGTGATTCAGTTTTGATTTTACCAAGATCACTGGCTGCCCTGTTGAAAAGACTATTGGGAGGTAAGAACTGAAGCAGAGACATATATACCAGTTACTGTACTAGTTGTCAATGTAGTGGCCAAAATATAGTGGCTTGAAGCAACTAAATTTAAAGCGATATTTTATTAAGATTTTAAACATTTTTTAGTGCTAGGATTGAATTCACACATGCTAGTCAAGTACTCTACCACTGAGCTATAGCCCTCTGTTGGAACTCTAAAACGTTGTTAAATATTTATTTTCTCATAGTTTTTCTTGGGAATATAGAAGAGGCTTGACTGTATAGTTTTGGCTCAGGATCTTTCATGAGGTTGTATCAGGCAAGGCTCAGTCATTCTAAGACTTAACCAGGACTAGAGGATCTGTTTCCAGCTTTACTCACTTAGCTTTTGGCCAGAGGCCTCAGCTGCTCACCATGTGGGCCTTTCTTTATGACAAGGCAACCAGCTTCCCTAAAGTGAGTGAACAAGTGTATGAACAAAAATGAAAATGTATTGTAGAGAAAGAATGGTCTTTTCAGTGAATGGTTTTGGATAAATTAAATATTCATATGGGGAAAAATATGAGTCTTAACCCCTAGCTCATTCCCTATATAAAAAAAATGAACTCCAGATGTATTACAGAGCTGAATAATAAAAGATAAAATTATAAAATTTAGAAGAAAAATGCAGAATGTCTTCATGACCTCAGATGGGGCAAATGTTTATTAAATAATCTTTAGAACTAACTATAAGAAAGGAATACTGTTTAGAAAATTGAGATTTAGATGAATTTTGGTCTCTGACACCATTAAAAATACAAGTCTCAGAGTGAAGACATAATAAGCAAAAGGCAAACAGTCCAACAGAAAATACACACAAAAATCTTAAACAGGGACTAGAGGTATGGCTCAGTTGTAGACTGAATGCTTAGCAAGAGCAAAACTGGAAGTTCAAACTCTAGTACCTCCAAAACAAAGCAAACAAACACTTAAGAAAAGCAGAGACCCAAATGGCTAGTAAGCATATGCATGTGTACTTAGCTGTGTTAGTCTTTATGGCAGTGGAAATTTCATTATATTACAATGCGCCCACATGACATGTCTTTTGTGCCACCATTTAGCCCAGTCCAGTAGGCAATCCTAGCTTTTCAGGAGATGAAGAAAACTGGATGCTTATGTTGCCAAGAGTGTAAGTTTGTGTAGCTACTTTGGGAAATTGTTTGGCAGTATACTCTAAGACCCACCACTTCTAGGTATGTACTGAACCTGTTTTTAGTTTTTTGAGACAAGGTCTTGCTGTGTAACCCAAGCTGACCTCAACTTGTGATCTTTCTGCTTCAGTCTCCCAAGTGCTGGGATTACAGCTGTATGTCACCATGTCTTGCTATAATGGCTTCTTTTGATGAGATTGATTATACCAACCAATGGAAACTTTTCTTACAGGAATGTATTTACTGGAATTATTTTTAAGGTTCTTAAGTTAATATTGGCTAGTATGTTGGAAATGATTATTAATTATTTGCTGGGAAAGAATATATAGTATCCCCATAAATGTTTTATTCATGTTAGCCAGACTCATACCTTTTTGTCTTTCAGCCCAAGAAACATCAGGAAAGACAGCCTGACATAGGGAACTGAGGACTGCTATTCAGAGAGAACTACAAAGCATCCTCAGTACAGTAGAAACCCTAATCCAAAGTTCCTATTCTTTTATCAGAGTGAGTAGCATTCTTCCAAGTGTTCTCTGTGAAGTCATATTTTCTGATCTATTCTATGAACTTTCCTGGATTTTTTTTTTAACTCTAAACAGACTATCATATTGGACAATATACATATGTTCTTGCTCCTCCCCACTCAGTGTATGTATATTGCCCATATAGTAGTGGAGATCCAAGTGCTCAAAACTGTGAGGGTAGGAGGAACTTAAAAAAAAAATTATTGTTGAAGTGGGGGTACATCATGTGACATTGACAGAAGTTCTTACAATATATGATAGTTAAATTCACCTCTCCATCATTCTTTAGGAGGAGCTTTTCTTATCACTCTGAACTGCACTACTAGTTCAAAGTTGAATTTGCATTTTTATTTAATTCACTGTTATGTGTAATTTTTCATTCTTTTGAATTAAGCTGATTTCCTTAAATAGATAGTGATTGTTACAAGCAGAGTGCCAATGTGGATAGCATTTACTAAGGAAGGAGCAGTATGAGCTTCTCGTTTCTAGTAGTGAACACGATTTGGATGAGGGCAAAGGGCCTTGTACTTTCAGGCAGAGCAGAGTGAGTAGTCACTGAGTTTTAGCTATGTGCCAGGCACTGTTAAGATGTTTCCAGTATGCATGATTTCATCTGGTTGGATAGATGATATAAATGACCTCTTAAAGAGTTGAGTTTTGGGTAGTTTAGTAATTTGTCTGAGATTTGTTGGCAATAAAGTGGCAGTGTTGGGATTCACACTGTTGCAGACCTGATTTCACAACCATTTTCTTTCATATAATCCACTTTCCAGGGAAATTTTATTGGATGGGGTAAATTATGAATACTAGGCTCGGGGGTGACTAATATACAGTAATTTGAAGAGAAGTAGGCATTCTAGGAGAGTTGAAATAAATGGATTGGCAGGTAGGGCAGCAAAGCAAAGAAAAACTGCTAAAATAATACAGGTGTCATGCTCAAAAAACAAAAATAGATTCCTTCAGGTGTGAAGTGATGAGAATCACAATTTGAATGGAAAATAAATGAACAATTTTCAAAATGAAAATTGTTAGAACTGGCTAACTTAACTCTAGGAAATGAAGCAAAGGGAAATAGGTTTAATTGACCTGCTTGCCTTTATAATAGAGTCTGTTGTATCCATTCATTGTGGTGCTTTTGTAGGCATTTCAATAGATTGTAGTCAGTTTTCCTTGCACTCCTTAAGTATTTAATCTTGAATTTTTGTACTGATAAGAATTTATTTGGGTTGGGTGTCGGTGGCTCACGGGCCTGTAATCCTAGCTACTCAAGAAGAGAGATCAGGAAGATCTCTTGAAGCCAGCCCCGGGTGAATATTGCAAGACATCCTATCCTGAAAATACCCAACACAAAAAGGGTTGGTGGGTAGTTCAAGTGGTAGAGTGCCTGCCTAGCAAGCATAAAGTCCTGAGTTGAAATCCCAGTACCGCCAAAAACCTATTGGGTAAAAAAACATAAAACAAATTTTCTCAAAAAAGTGATGACAATTAATATTGCATAGTATCTTAAAACTGAAAAAAATGAATGAAATTTAAAATTAATCTTTATGTGAAGATAATACACAAGTTCATGAATGCTCAAAAAATTCTAAGTTTTTTGGGGATATGATGGACAGTCATTCTCTTCATTTTTTTAAGATAAAAAGACACTGACTTACCTCCTTACTAGCTGTGTGGCCAGGAAAGTTACTAAGTCTTCTGGGGCATCATTTTCCTCATATTTAAACTGAGGATGTCAATAGAATCAACATGGAGAGTTCTTAGAAGATTAAATGGTATAAAAATTATAGAATCAGTTCCTGAACCATAGTGAACTGTGAATAATTATTAAGTATTATCTAGGGAATTAGGAGGAGTAATGTGCTGCAGTTTTGCTTATAAATATGAATGTTATGAAGAGTCAGAACTCAACATTTTATGAATTCTCAATAAAACTTTTATTATACCACGCTAATCAAGTTTTGCATTTATTTCTGGTAGAATAAACTCAGTCTTTTTCACGTATGGTTTAGAGTTTAGAACCCCTCAATGTAGCAATTAGGGAATTGTTCTGCCTTCTTATTTTTCTTACCCATTTTCCTGTCTGATCATTTGAATGCCAGACTGATTCCTTGCAAAGTGGTTTGCCTACCAAAAAAATACAGTAGCAAGGGGAGGCAGGGCTTCCAGTTTTTCCATAGCTACCCTAGCTATGCGAGTATGCATTCACATTAACTATTACCTTTTTATGGTTTTTGGTCTTTCTGAATCTTCACAAAAGGTACCATTTGTGTCCTAAAGATGAATAAATAAGGTTGATTAATTTTTTTGTTACAATGAAATTGTTTGTGCCTCGTTAGGAAAATCATTGTTAATTTGCTGCTATGCAGGGCAATTTGGCTTGGGAATATCGCTAGCATTACATGTTTCTGAATTTTAAACATACTTATTTGAAGCTAGTATTGTGATGGATGGAAAAGCTTGATGGTCATATTGTACTTTTTATCTATGTCAGTTTACTTAGTTTTTATAAAAGTAGAACATGTATCTTTTCTGGGTCTTTGCGATTGCCAGTCATACTACTGAAAGATTTATTGGTATCTGTGAGAAAACTTCATTTAATTCGTATCTTACATCATTTTAATGCCATTAATAGGCAGCTTAGTATAGTCGATGGTTTAGACCAGTGTTTCTAAGTCGTTTTTTTACCCATCCCTCATGGAAAATGAGCCCTTTCAGACATTTTTTTCCCCAACCTGGTTCCTACCCTTGTAAAATTGTAAGTCCACAGATAATACTGTATATCTCTTTATATACTGTATCTGTCTATCTACCTATCTGTCTGTCTATCTGTTTTACATAAGAAGTAACAGGTTTTTGGGGTCCCTCCTTCTCTGTAAGAAGCAGTATTTGCCCCCTTTGAAGAGCTACTGCCTGTGTTGAGAATGTATATTTTGCAGTAACGAATTCTTAAAATTTTTGGTTTCAGGACCTTAGGGTTTCTAAAATTAGTGACTAGTCTGAAGAGCTTTTGTTTATAAAGGTTATAACTAGTGCTATTTATCATGCTACAAATGAGGCTGAGGAAAAAACTAACACCAATTAATTTTAAAATTTTCATGGAAATTGCCACCCCCCTATACATGTTCTTTAGTGTGATAAGAGTGGTATTGTTAACAAAGAGATTTTTATAAATCTCTTCAAAGTCTATCTTAATAGCAAGGTTCTAAGGGTTTCCTTTGACTTAATCTGTACAGTTTTACAAAGAAAATCTGGGCTTACATATAGTTGGAAAAGGAAAGAATATTTTTTTTTCATTTTTCTTTTATTATTCATATGTGCATACAAGGCTTGGTTCATTTCTCCCCCCTGCCCCCTCCCCTTACCACCCACTCCGCCCCCTCCCTCTCCCCCCTCTCAATACCCAGCAGAAACTATTTTGCCCTTATTTCTAATTTTGTTGTAGAGAGAGTATAAGCAATAATAAGAAGGAACAAGGGTTTTTGCGGTTGAGATAAGGATAGCTATACAGGGCATTGACTCACATTGATTTCCTGTGCGTGGGTGTTACCTTCTAGGTTAATTCTTTTTGATCTAAACTTTTCTCTAGTTCCTGGTCCTCTTTTCCTATTGGCCTCAGTTGCTTTAAGGTATCTGCTTTAGTTTCTCTACATTAGGGCAGCAAATGCTAGCTAGTTTTTTAGGTGTCTTGCCTATCCTCACCCCTTACTTGTGTGTTCTGCTTTTATCATGTGCTTATAGTCCAATCCCCTTGTTGTGTTTGCCCTTGATCTAATGTCCGCATATGAGGGAGAACATACAATTTTTGGTCTTTTGGGGCAGGCTAACCTGACTCAGAATGATGTTCTCCAATTCCATCCATTTACCAGCGAATGATAACATTTTGTTCTTCTTCATGGCTGCATAGAATTCCATTGTGTATAGATACCACATTTTCTTAATCCATTCATCAGTGCTGGGGCATCTTGGCTGTTTCCATAACTTGGCTATTGTGAATAGTGCCGCAATAAACATGGGTGTGCAGGTGCCTCTGGAGTAACCTGTGTCACAGTCTTTTGGGTATATCCCCAAGAGTGGTATTACTGGATCAAATGGTAGATCAATATCTAGCTTTTTAAGTAGCCTCCAAATTTTTTTTCAGACTGGTTGTACTAGTCTACATTCCCACCAACAGTGTAAGAGGGTTCCTTTTTCCCCGCATCCTCGCCAACACCTGTTGGTGGTGTTGCTGATGATGGCTATTCTAACAGGGGTGAGGTGGAATCTTAGCGTGGTTTTAATTTGCATTTCCTTTATTGCTAGAGATGGTGAGCATTTTTTCATGTGTTTTCTGGCCATTTGAATTTCTTCTTTTGAGAAAGTTCTGTTTAGTTCACTTGCCCATTTCTTTATTGGTTCATTAGTTTTGGGAGAATTTAGTTTTTTAAGTTCCCTATATATTCTGGTTATCAGTCCTTTGTCTGATGTATAGTTGGCAAATATTTTCTCCCACTCTGTGGGTGTTCTCTTCAGTTTAGAGACCATTTCTTTTGATGAACAGAAGCTTTTTAGATTTATGAGGTCCCATTTATCTATGCTCTGTCTTAGTTGCTGTGTTGCTGGGGTTTCATTGAGAAAGTTCTTACCTATACCTACTAACTCCAGAGTATTTCCTACTCTAGGAAAGAATATTTTAATAACCTTTTCAGACAATAGAGATGGTTGTTCTTTGATATTAGATCAAAATTTGACAGTTGTTAATTTCTTAAAGGATAGTCGCAACACAGAATCTGAAACCACATAAAACCATCTTGTCTTGTCATTAGTCTGTGTTTCACTTTGGATCTTTTGTTCATGCATAATTTTGTCCTAACATACATTGGGTACTTGGAAAATATAGGTTCAGTGACTTACAAAGATGTTTTCAATGTTGATTCACTATCAGTTAATCACGTGAATATCACCACTGATCTCACTGGAAGCATTAAAAATATTGGAGACATGTTAAGTTGTTTTTCAATTGAATGCTTGAGTGTTGTCCTTGGTAGGGAACACTATTTGTTGATTGTGGACAGGTGTACCTCTTTCATTTCTAAGAAGATGTCTGCCATATATTCAAGGCTGTATAATCAGTGTATCAACCATTCTTTCAAATAAACGTGTTCCACAAAAAATGTAATTCAGCCTGCTCTCACAGCATTTTTTCTGTCAGATATGCATCATTTCTCTGCAACAGGAGTGCTTCATGTGCGCCTCCCAGTTAGTCACACAAAATATTAACAAGGTACGTGTTCAGGGCAAGATTTAATAAAATTAAAACTTCTTTACTGTGAGAACATAAAGAATGTGCTAGTACAGTTTGGTGCCACTGCCTTGACGTGGCTTGTTAATAAGATTCCAACTGTTTTTGTACCAGTTAGCACTCATATCAGTACAGCGAAAAAGCCAAATAATCTGTAGTACTATTCTGAAAACAGTTTTGACCTCCATAGGGGCTCATGGGCAACACTTTGAGAACCACTGGTTTAGAGCATGGATTTTGGTGCACCAGACTACCTGGATTGAATGACAGCTCCCTCTCTTTGTGATGTTTAGCAGTTACCCCAGTTACAACTAGGCAAATATTTTAAAAGGAAAGCCACATCTGGGTGCTGGTGGCTTATACCTGTAATCCTAGCTACTCGAGAGGCAGAGATCGGGAGGATAGTGGTTTGAGGCTAGCCCAGGCAGCAAAAGCAAAAGCCTGTCTCAGAAGTACCCAGCATACAAAAAAAGGGCTTGTGGAGTGGCTTAAATGGTAGAACTCCTGCCTAACAAGTACAAGGTTCTGACTTCCAACCCCAATACTGCAAAAAAGAGGAAAGCAGGAAAATCACAGACCAATATCCCTCAAGAACATTGTTTGCCCTTCCCATCAAAATATTTGACATTAGCTTTTCTGTACCATCATTTTGTCTATTAATTTGATAAGTGTAGTTAAGAGCTGCAGGAGAGGCAGGGATTTGAAGTAACACAGCAGGGTGATGCTAAGATTGTATTCTGAATGACTTGCCATCATGGAGTTAAAAAAAAAAAAAAGCTGCTTGTCAGAATCTCAGGTTGTATCCCTAGGCTAACAGTTTAAGTACTGTCAGCAATTTTAGGAACTTTATTTGTTTTGTTTTGTTTGTAGTTTTGGAGGCAGGGCTATGCCATGTACACCAAGCTGGCCTCAAACTGTGATCCTGCTGCTTCAGCCTCCTGAATGCTGGGGTTCCAGGCCTGTACCAGTCACCAGCCAAATACTAAGTCTGCTTCTTCCTTTTGTTATCTAGATAAGTGCTTTATTCTTGGTTCTGAAAACTGCCTTAAAGTGAGCAGTCTTTTCACTCGGTTTCAATGAGGAAAATCTGTTAACTGTAAACAACAAGTGTTTTCTGTAGGTGTTTATCAGTTCAAGAAAATTTCAATGACAAAACAGTCCTTTGGTTAATTTCATTCTTCATGGTGTTTGAACATAGACTCTTCTGTAACACACATATACCCATTTTGGAGTAGCCTTCATTTAGGAGGTGGTTGTTTTTAAAAAGAAAGAGCCTGTTATTACCGTCTGTCTTGGTATTCATGCCAACGAACCAATTGCTTTATGGGAGAAAAGGCACAGAGGGTTCTTCCATCTGCTGTAATTGATTACTGCCTTCATGTGGTTCCCAAACAGTTCCTGAGTCCAGCATCGCTTGACTGATGCCTCTGTCTTGTTAGTTTTTAAATTTTTAAATGCTTACGGTTTTTTTTCCCCCAATTAGGTAAGTAGTGTCTTCTTCTCAGAGAATTTAAAAAATAAGAGAAAAGGTACACATATCGGGGAAAAAAAATAATTAGCTTTGCCATTCTTGGATATATTCTTTCCTGCCCTTTTTGATAATCAATAGCTGCTCTTTTAGTTCTAATTGGCAAAGTATTGTATATACATTTCACATTGTGCATTTACTCATTATCAGTGCTTCTTCCATTAGAAAGTATTTTAAAATATCAACGACTAATTTTTGTCATTAATAGGTACCACACTTTAAAAAAATACCCATTTAGGTTATTTTCCATTTATCAACATTATAAATGTGCTGGGAAGCACCTCTCCTCTTTATTCTTTTTCTGATTATTATATTCTGGTTATTCTTTGACCCTTATGGGAAAACGGCTGATTCAGGGAAGAGGATTTATCTTGTACAGGATTCTTGAGGTGAATTGCTAAATGCTTTCCAAAATGAGTGAACCAATTTCTGACTTCACCAGCATTCTGCTCAGTTCTCCCTATCTTCACCAGAATCAGGGTAAATGGTACCCATTAACATGTTAACTTCAAGCAAAAGCTTAAATGGTTAGAAATTAAATAGTATAAAATATAGCAAAACTGTAGTATTTCTCACTACCAACAATCCAAACTGAACTAGACTTTGAAAATGTTTTCCTAACCTCGAAATGGTGTGGTCTTCAAAATAGGTCCCTTTGTTCAGGAGTTCTGTGTGCACTGTGAGCCAGTAGAGACCTGCCTCTGTAGAGTGGGTTGGAGATAGAGTTTCAGTGTGTGTCCTTGGTCTTTATTTTTTCTGTCTTTAACTCTGACTCTTGAGACAGTTATATAGAGTAGTTTGGTGGGGGGATTTCTTCTCTGTTAGAAAAAGCAGATTTGGATAATGTAAGATTTAAGTCTTGTGTTTGAGTTCTTTACTAATTCTGTATAAATTTCAGGTGTGCAACAGAGGAACATGGCTCAAGAAACTAATCACAGCCAAGTGCCTATGCTTTGTTCTACTGGCTGCGGATTTTATGGAAACCCTCGTACAAATGGCATGTGTTCAGTATGCTATAAAGAACACCTTCAGAGACAGAATAGTAGTAATGGTAGAATAAGCCCACCTGGTAAGTCATTCTGTTAAAATGTGTCAGTATCCATACTTGAAATATACTTGGGCAGTTCACATTGTAGTTAATTACCACATTCATATTAGTAAAATTTCTTATTACACATTGTGATGATCAGTAGTGAGGAGTCAGGAAAAAGACTGTCCTACCTCTTTGTAAATACTGCAAAGTTATTTCATAGTCTTATTTGCTGTGTAGCAGAACTGTTACTACCTCATTAAGACAGAAAACACTTCAAGTAAATAGAGCCATCTTGGAAAGTAAGGTAAGGGAGTGTGGACTTTGGTTCTCTTATCTGTGGGGACTTTTGTAGCCAGGGCAGTTGTTGAGGGGAAGAATATGCAGATACATTCAGGATTATAGACAGCCATGGTTGACCTTAGAGAAAGCCTGACTCCATTAGGAAGTGGTGTAACCAATTAACTCAAGTGTAAGGAATGTTCAATCTCAGTTCGCTTGTGTTTTTGATGGCTTTTTTGTGTCAGGTGATTTTCTTGGAACTGAGGTTGGTTTTAGCAGTTATACAAGAAAGATCATGTGGATTCAGCTTTACTAAATGGAAATGTCAGAAGGATTTGGGCAGTATGCTTCTAATGTAGACTAATACATAGATGTTTGTGGTTAAGGTGTAAGCTGTTGCTTAGTTTATTTCAAATTTTTTATGGGGTCTTACTGTTTCACGTTTTACTCAAAAAACTAGAACCATTTCATCAAAACTTTTCAAAATTTCCTTAAGGCTAAGATTGAGTGAATATAAATTGTTTTTGAATGAAATAACTGTCTACATTTGTGACTCATGAAGTGCAGGGAGAACAACCTAATGTTCCCCTTCTGACTTATATCCACCTTACTGCTCAGTTATCTGTAGTACCTCAGCTGTGTACTCGTTACTTAGAAGGTGCTTGTGAATCAGAGGATTTGGGTTTGGGCGATACTAGTCCTGAGAAGTAGGTGTTTAGTTTATTACAATTTGTATATGGTTTCCTTCTTGGTTAAAGTTAAACATTTTTCAGAGATTACAGCAAAAAGAAAGAAAAAACTAAACTGAAAATTTTTACCATTTTTCAGGCTTGGGGTAGAGCTCAGAGGTGGAGCATGTGCTTATCATGTATGAGGCCCTTAGTTCAATCCCCATCACCAAAAACCAAATTTTCATGAGCAAACTATTGCCAAGCTTTGAATTAAAAGTAATGAGTCATACTATACAGTGAAACAAAATCACTATACTGTATTTTGCAGATTCATCTTGATTTTTTTTTTATATCTGGTCTTGGGCTGCCTTGAGTATACCGTCACTAACAAATGTGGTTGTGTTACAGCAACTTCTGTCAGTAGTCTGTCTGAATCTTTACCAGTTCAGTGCACAGATGGCAGTGTCCCAGAAGCTCAGTCAGCATTAGACTCTACATCTTCATCTATGCAGCCAAGGTAAGGTGGACTCTGAATGGTAGGACAATTAATGAAAAAGAATGTTTGGATCAATTCTGTCTTAATAGAAAAAGCTATGTAAAACTACTTTAGGATTAACTGGCCTAAAATTGTATGTAACTGTTATTTAGCAGTTAGAAAAAGCCTTTTTTAAAAAATTTAATTGGGGAGGTGTATCTTTGCAAGTTGTAGATTTCCTTTTCTGGGATTTTTCTTTTATTCTTCCTTATACTATATATGTATGTATATATACATAGACATGTGTACACACACACACACACACACACATTCACATATATTGCTGAAGTCCTTTTCAAGCATGTTGATTTATTTCTTAAATTATAGTCTTAGTATGCAAGTATTAGAACCTTGTGTTAAAAAACAGTCTTGTCACAGGTGCTTTTTGTTTTGAGTTTTGTTTTTTTTTTCCCTTGGTGGCATTGAGGTTTGAACTCAAGGCTTCATATTTGCTAGGCAGGCACTCTTCTGCTTGAACCATATCTCCAACCCCAGTTGTTCTTTGTTTATACCATGATACGGTACTCATCTTTGTAATAGTTTTTTCTTTTTCTTCTTCTTTTTTAATTCTAAAGTCAGAGTTAGAAGTATACATACAAAAATACTTTCTTCCATTTTATTCGTTTAGAAACCAGTATATTAAGTTTCTGCTCTATGGTTCCATTTTCCAAAGTCATGATAGATGTTTGGTTCTGCTATGCTAGAATATTACTTACAGCTTTGCATTAGGGTTCCTTAAGTACATCTTTACCATGCTAGTTTTCATTTAATGCATTTGTGTGTTACCTGAAGTACACAAAAGACATGAACTGTTTGCTTTGGTTTCAAAGTGCATAGTACTTTTCCAAATGTCTCTGGTTTCAAAGCTCTGTGATTATGTTAAGTTATAAACAATTATCTCTGTATTCTATAATAAGTGATACTTGCATCACCTTATTTATTATTTAATGTGAAGATCATCCCTTTAAAATCAAAATAATGCCAGCCACGTGCATGTAGTCCCACCTCTTCGGAGGCTGAGGCAGGAGGTTCACTTGAGTCCAAGAGCATGAGATCAACCTGGGCAACACAGGGAGCCACTGTCTCAGAAACAAAAACAATTTAATTTAAAAAATAAATTTTCATTTAAAAAATAAAAATCAAAATATTTTTGCTTTTCTAGCCCTGTATCAAATCAGTCACTTTTATCAGAATCTGTAGCATCTTCCCAAGTGGACAGTACATCTGTGGACAAAGCAGTACCTGAAACAGAAGATCTGCAAGGTTTGCATATGAACTAGCATGTATTTTGTCATTTATTTATCGCTTTAGTATTATAGGCCAGACTTAGCATAGGCACATGTATACAAAAATGCCTGCTTATAATCATCTTTCTATGTTTTCAGTATGAACAGAATGTTTTATTATATTCACATATTTAATTAAAATGTTATGAGCCACTTACATATAAATTAGATTGGCTTAAAGAAAGAGTCAAAATTTGTATAGTTGAAAATATAATTAAGTGACTGTGTGGAAGTGTTAAACTGTTCTCTTTTGTTGTTTTAACCAATTGAATCTAAAAACTATTTCCTTTCCAAGCAAACTGGGATTGTTGACTTGAAGGGAATCTGGTTCTCTTAGCTTTTTGACTCAAGTTATCTGAGAGGCTGCTCTACTTGGCTGGCAGGCACCCTTCTTTCCCCATCTGTGACTTACAGTGCAGTAGTTACATTCAGTTACTTGTATTCACAGTGTGGTGCCTCATGCTTGCCCGTGCTCTTTATATTCCCATTATGTGGATCAGAGTGATCTAAGAACATTTGCAGGATTGTATGAAGGCTTTCTTTGAGGGGAGACAGTGTTAAAGTCACCATTTAGGAGACTATTAAATAATCTCTGCTTAGTTATAGTCTTCCAATTGTGTTAATGCAGGGAGTGTATTCTGCAAAGATAAGTCCAAGGACAAGCAATGCAGTTTGATACTCTGCCTCCTGATATGATACAAAGAGAAAAGATGTCCTGAACTAGTGAAATTGTATTGTGTGTAGAGTTCACATGGTGGTAACAGAGATATCAGGCAGTATTAGTTTTTAGTTTGTTAAATTTTAAATTTAAATAACCTTGTTAATTCCATTTCATGCCTAACAAATGCTTGACATAATTTGCCTGTTTGTGTAGATTTTACTATAGCAAGTGAATATACTATGTGGCCAACATAAATATTCCATATTATTATAAATTGATGAATATGATAAGTGAACCATTTATATATTTATAGCTAAATAGAAAATTTAGGGAAGGGCAGGGATGTGGGATATTTTAAAAGCAGAAACAGGAAAAATGTGAAGATTCAGTATTTCACTGGACATGAGAAAATAGACAAGAGTCTTTCATAGTGGCAGTGGTGTGGCTGGTTTAGACAGGGAGGCTGAAGAGGCAGAATGAGGTAGAAGTGATCAAATTTCAAAACTGAGAGAGCTCATTTGGAGGTTGTAGGTAGATAGTAGGCATGTAATGTGTGAAATGATAAACATCATTCCTAAAATTCTGTGGACCTGGGCATAGGCCAAAAAACAGAGGAGCAGGCAAGAGGATGAGGCAGCAAAGGAACAGAGAAAGAAGCCATCTATATCCTAGTTAGTTTTGAGCTGTAGATGCTAAAGGAGAATTTCAAGAAGCAAGCATTGAGTAGCAGTTTTGAGAGGGAAATAAGTTGAGAAGGAAGTAAACAGAGTGCTAATTACAGTGGAGTTACTTGTGTCTTAGAACAAATTTTAGAATACTGGCTGTGGAAAAAAATTATAAAAGACAGATGCAGTAGTAATGATAAAGAATAAAGGTTGTAGGTTGGTGAACTAATAATAATGTGAAGTACTTAAAAGGTGGTCATGGTGCCATATTAGGAGAAATTGTAGAGAATTTAAAAACTCCAGACTCTTTTTTCATGTATGATTTGAGTGACATTTAGGTAAACCATATTAAAAATCTTAAAGATTGGCATTCATAATTTCAGCACAGCGGAATCTGACAAATTAGGTAGAGGGAATTAATTTTAACTCTCCTAACAACCTTGTTTTTTGAAGAAATAACCTTTTTGGATTAAGAATACTTTCATTATAAACAAACATAAATGTGTGCATACAGGCGTGTGCATTCATGCCGTTTATTCTTAGAACAAATGCAAAGAATGTTTATCTATAGATAGAAGAAAAGAAACAGAAAAAGTCTTTTGTACTCAGTCATGTGATCATTAGAGCTGGAACTGGAACCCAGGCATGACATAGGCCAGTATTCTTTCCATTCACTGGACAGTTGTGTTTGTTGGGCTAGCATGTGGATGTGTGTTCGTGACGCCCAGGCCTCCCCACACCAGGGTGGAACAACTGGTTTGGTAAGCTATCCTGGGATCTCTTTCCTTCCTTATCACTCGAGTTCCTCTCTTAAAGGAAATTTATTTAGAAAGGAAGTCCATCCCTAATAAAAGAAGGTATGTGAGTAGTGTGCCTAAGCAAGAATTTCCTCACATTTTTTTGTTGACTTTTTGGATCAGCTTTTTTTTCCTTCATAGGTATTCTGCCTATGATTAGGAAATGCTGCCACCAGGTGGTCAGTACTGCTTTCATTTTGGCCTTATGGCTCTGAAGAATTTTTTTCACATTTAAGTGAAAAGTCAACATACTGCAATATGTTTGCCATTTAATTATGGCTTTTTATTTTTTCTATTCTAAACAGTCATTTTATATTCCCATAGTAATTTATTTATTTATTTTTATCATGTTTACATTTACTCACATGTGTATACATTGTTTGGGATCACCCCCAAAACCTGTTCTGCCCTCTGATTTTGTTGGAGACAAAACATAAGAGATAATAAGAAAGGCATAGCATTTTTTTAAGTTTGAGATAAAGGTAGCTATACAGAGAGATTCCTAGTGTTGCTTCCATGCACATGTCTATTACAACCCACCTTGGATCATCTCTACCAGACCTTTTCACTATTTCCTAGTCCCCTTCCAATAGTGGCCTCTGCCAGTTTAAGATTACTGTAGTCACTTCTCTACAGTGAGCATATCAACCACATTGAAGTTTTAGGTTTTCTTCCCTTTCCCTATTCCTCCCTTGCACATTCTTCCCTTAGTGTGAGACCCATGTCTAATAATATTACTGCATCTATTTTAGGTCTATAATCTGTGTATGAGGGAGAACATGCGATTTTGACTTTTTGAGCCTGGCCAACTTCTCTTAAGATGATGTTCTCTAGTTCCATCCATTTACTTATAAATGACAAAATTTCATTCTTCTTTGTGACTGAATAAAATTCTGTTGTGTATAAATACCACATTTTCTTAATCCATTCGTAGGTAGTGGGACATCTTGGCTGTTTCCATAGCTTGGCTACCATGAATAGCGCTGCAATAAACATGGGTGTGCAGGTGCCTTTGTAATAACCTGAGATGCATGTATTTGGGTATATCCCTAGGAGAGGGATTGCCGGATCATATGGTAGATCTATGTTTAGTATTTTAAGAAGCCTCCATATTCTTTTCCAAAGTGATTGTACTAGCTTACATTCCCACCAGCAGTGTATAAGGGTTCCTTTTTCCCTCCCATCCTTGCCAGCATTTGTTGTCAGTGGTGTTCTTGATGCTAACTATTCTAACAGGAGTGAGGTAGAATCTTAGTGTGGTTTTGATTTGCATTTCCTTCATGGCCAGGGATGTTAAGCAGTTTTTCATGTGTTTTTTTTGCCATTTAGATTTCTTCTTTTGAAAAAGTTCAGATAGTTCAGTTGCCCACTTCTTTATTGGTTCATCAATTTTGGGGGAGTTTAGTTTTTTGAGCTCCCTGTTTATTCTGGTTATCAGTCCCTTGTTTGATGTATAGCTAGCAAATGTTTTCTCCCACTCTGTTGTCTCTTCAATTTAAAGACTGTTTCTTTTGTTGTGCAGAAGGTTTTTAATTTCATGTAGTCCCATTTGTCCATCCTTTCTTAGTTGCTGGGCCACTTGAGTTGTACTGAGGAAGTCCTTGCCCATACCTGTTGCTTCCACAGTATTCTAGAGTACAGGGAATACTCTTTCCTGTACTAACTGCAAAGTTTTGGGCCTGATATTAAGGTCCATTAGTCTACTTTGAGTTCATACTAGTACAGGGTGATAGGCATGGATCTAATTTCAGTTTTCTGCAGGCAGATAACCACTTTTCCCAGCAACATTTGTTAAAGAGGCTATCTTTTCTCCACCGTATGTTTTTGTTGTCTTTGTCAAAAATAAGGTGGTCATAGCTGTGTGGATTCATATCCGGGTTCTCGGTTCTGTTCCACTGGTCTTCATGTGCCAGTACCATGCTGTTTTTATTGCTATGGCTCTGTAGCAGTTTGAAGTCAGGTATTGTGATACCTCCAGCGGGCTCTGTTTGCTCAGTATTGTTTTGGCTGTTTGCAGTCTTTTGTGTTTCCAAATGAACTTTAAGGTAGGTTTTACAAACTTTGTGAGAATGTCTTTAGAATTTTGATGGGTATTGTGTTGAACATGTATATTGCTTTTGGTAGTACAGCCATTTTTACTATGTTGATTCTACCAATCCATGAGCACGGGAGATCTTTCCACCTTCTGCAGTCTTCTTTGATCTCTTTAGTGGTTTGTAGTTCTCCTTATAAAGGTCATTTACATCTTTTGTTAAGTTTATTCCTAGTATTTGATTTGTTTTTTGAGGCTATTGTAAATGGAATTGTTTTCCTGTATTCTTTCTCAATTTGTTCACTGTTGGTGTATAAAAAGGCTCTGATTTTTGTAAGTTGATTTTGTATCCTGCTATATCGCTGAAGCTGTTTTTGGTGTCTAGGAGTTTTTGGGTGACGTTTTTTGGGTCTTTGAGGTATAGGATCATGTAGTATGCAAGTAGGGATATTTTGACTATTTTTTTACTTACTTGTATTCCTTTTATTTCTTCTTGCCATATTGCCCTGGCTAGGAATTCCAGGACTACGTTGAATAGGAGTGGGGAGAGTGGGCATCCTTATCTCATTCCTGACTTCAGGGGAAATGGTTTCAGTTTTTCCCCATTAAGTATGATGTTGACTAAAGGTTTGTCATATATAGCTTTTATAATGTTGAGGTACATTCCTTCTATTCCTAGTTTTCTTAGAGCTTTTATCATGAAATGGTGTTAAGTCTTACCAAAAGCTTTTTCTGCATCTTTTGAGATGATCAAGTGGTTTTTGTCTTTGTTTCTATTAATGTGCTGTATTACATTTATTGATTAGGGTATGTTGAACCATT